CACCCAGGCGCTGGGTCAGCCCCTTTCTGACGTCCCACGGCGTCGCGACGTCGCGCCTCTGTGTGCCACCCAAGCAGCGTCGCCGGCAAAATGACACGGATTGCCTGCTGCCGAGTTACGAGCAGCTCCTCCCTCCGCAGCACACAGTCACCCCGCGGGGCAGCTCCTGCCGCAGGGTTCCCAGGAGCATCGCCCCTCCTGCTCCCCACTGCCACGGCTGTCCCGGCAGGCATCTTCCCCGACAAATCGTAGAAATCTCGGTTTAATATGTCCTCTTGCTCTCGCCACCTCCCAGCTTGCTCCCCGGTACCTGTTTCCACCAGCCTTACGCAGGGAAATCACGGTCTGCGACGTGCTGGTTCACCGGGGGCGGGAGCGGTTCTCATTCCCGGGCAGCAACAGCCCGGCAGGTCACGGCACGGCGCGGACCACGGTACCGGCAGCGCCTGAGCGAGGAACAGCCAATTCCCGGGCTGCCTGCCTGCGTTTGGGGTTGCTGCTGTCTACAACAAGTCGTGATACGTTGGGTTTTCCGACATTTCGAGCGTCTGTACGGATAAAACTACTGCAGTTTAGGCGTTCGTTGTCCGTCACCAGCGCAACTGCTCAGCTCTCACGGCGCAGTGGGAAGGGGCGAAGGAAGCTTGAGAGGGCAGCACCAGGAGCTCTGTCAAAACCCGGCTGTAGCCGAGAAACACAGCATCCAGATGCCTTCCTACAGCCGAGAGTGATAAAGAAGGGACAACGATGTCTGGGAAAGAAACCGGACTGGAAATAAGCGCCCACACGTTCATTCACTTGTCGAGAAAAATTACAAGGGTCTCCATGCCCTGCAGAACTGGGTCGGAAATATTGCGGCTGGTTATCTGTTACCCCGCTGCTTGTCGTGGCTGAGCGCGTTGTGGAAGGGCTGCAAATCACCCACACCATCGTGGGGGACACATGACACCCGCCAGAGCGACAGGGACCTCGGCTCTGGCACAGTCCTGCTAACTGCCCTGAGCACGCAGGATCCACCCAGAAGGACAATATGTGAAGAGTCAACGATGTCAAACGGGTCGGCACAGTGTTTCCTCTCTATATGCTCAGCTATTTCTTTTCCTACCAAATAATCGTTGCCGAAAGATAAACCATATCTGCACTACTTACCATTCTAATCACCAGACCATAGAATGTGATAAAAGTATAGGCTTCACATGGATAAGATCCATCGTATTCGTATTTTAATGGAATTTAATTCTGGAACACTGTAAAGACTGAGAAGGAAAACGATATGCTTTAGCCACTGCAGCTGCATCCTGCACCCAAGTACGAGTGGTTATGCCTCTATCCATTTTGGAGCACTTCTGCAACAGACCGTGTCTGCAGGTTCACAGTGCCGACAGCAAATTTCTTTTCTCATAAGCCCTTATGCAACCAAATCCCAATTATCTTTCTCTCTTAAATATAATCTAAAAGGAAAAAAATCCACAGCTCTCTTCAAGACAAATCTTGAAGCAGCCTTCATCCAGTTCTTTTCTCTGAAATAAGCTGTGAATCTTTTTTACAGCCACTGCCCATTTTGTGTCTTTCCTAAAGTCTGTTTACTGAGTAATTTCTCTAATGAGCATATCTCAATTCTTAAGGAGTTTCTTTTCATGAGTGCACACACAACCCGTATTTAGAGTACCTTGTCGGCTTAATCCTAGAGTTAGTAGGACGGGCAAGCAGCGGAGAATGGAATACAGTGAGGAAAATCTCGGGAAAGGCATGGAAGACTGAACATTTCCATCCCCGGTGTTTCCACTGATCTGGAGACATTACGTCTCCTTCGCTTTGATGGGAAGCCCGAATACTGAATGCCACACCTAGGAGCTCCTGAAAGCACCATTTGCAGGGAGATGAGTAGAAATGTGCAGCTGCTAAGGGGAAAGGCGCCTTGCCCCTTCACCCAGAATTACTTCGGGGACGAGTTCAGGCCACACCCCAGCCGGAGCTGCTCACTCCAGCGCTATTCCCGGCTCTGCAGGGGCTCAAGAGGATCCTGTGGCAGCCGCAGGCCCAATGCACTCTCTGCTCGGCTCCAGGCTTGGAGCTACAGTGAGGCACCAGTCCAGGCTCCGCAGACAGAGGGGAAATGTAAGTCGCTGGTGTATACAGCATCTTCCTTTTGAGGGGTTCAGACTGTGAAAAGAACCGAGCTGGAAGGGAAAACATAAGACTACAGAGTTACTGCCCTCACTGAGTGAAAGGGCTGGGATAGATCACACATCGTTATCACAGGCAAGCACTTAAATCTACCAGAGACAGTAAACGAAGCAATCACTAGACGAAGACAAGTGTGTTGTCTCAGATTCGGATCCCACGATACTTTTGCCCCTGCTCCCAACTGTGTTCATCCCACCAGCCCGGTTTGGTGAAACTCGTCCCCGGAGTGGGACAGACAGACAGCAGTACTGAGAACACAGCATCGCTCCCCGGGGCACAACCGACAATTCACGGATGAGACTGGGCAGATAAAAAGGAAAAGTCCACACACAATTCCACGCCCACACACACGCCCCCGTCACCACCGCCGACTTATCGAGCAGTGCGCCTGGAGGCGACGTTTAGTTCTGCCGGTTGTCAATCGATCTCTGACGGCACAACTGGGGAAGAAGATTCACACGAGTCCGTGGAAAGGGAACCCAAGACAGAATCTCACCTGTGCCGAGCTCTCTGGGCTGGGAGGGTCCTTCCCGGACTGAGTGCCGGAGCGGGGTTCCCCGGCCAGGAGACGGTCAGACAGCGCTGCCGCCTCTGGTCTCAGAAATGTGAAGTCTTTCTGGCCCGACTCGGAGGCTAACCACACCTCGTAGGAATACGGCAACGGCAGCGTGCTGCCGCAGCAGTTGTACGGTGTTTTTGAGCGCAAGGTGGAATATAGTTCCTTATCAGAAGTTATAAAAACAGGAGGGCTTCTCGACCGTCGGCATTTAAAGAACAATAGCAAAGAGACTATCAAAACGAATAACAGGGACACGACAGCGAGCGCCACTAAAAGAATGAGGTTTAGATCAGACGTCAGCTCGGACACAGCGTCTCTGTCACTCAGCTCTGGTAGCGCCTCCTGCAAGCTCTCGGCCAGCACCACGTGCAGCGTGGCCGTGGCTGACA